CCCCAAACCTCCCAGTCCCCAAATACCCCATCCCCAAATACCCCATCCCCAAACCTCCCAGTCCCCAAATACTCTTGCCACAAATATCCCCGTCCCCAAATGCCTCCTCCCCAAATATCATCCCCAAATACCCCACCCCCCAAATACCCCAATCCCAATATCTCCTCCTCAAATACCCCCTTCCCAAATACCTCCTCCCTAAGTACCCCAACCCCAAATACACTGTCCCCAAATACCTCATTCCCCTATAACCCATCCCCCAATACCCCAACCCCAAATACCCCTTCCCCAACATCCTGTCCCTAAGTCCCCAAACGCTGTCCCCAAATGTCCCATTCCCAAACACTCCGTCCCCAAAGACCCCAAGCCCAAATCCTCCACCCCCCCCTTGCCCCCTGGCCCCTGCCCCTCCTCCCTCCTGCCCAAACACCCCCAAAAAACTCCTGCGCCCCCCACACCCCCCCCCACCTCCCCCAGGGGTCCCCCGGTGCCACCCCCGTGCCCCGCCCTGGGGGACAGGAGCGGCCACACCCCAAAGCACGCCCCGCCCCCCCAGGCACGCCCATCTACCAGAACGTGGTGCCCCCCCCGGCGAGGGACCCCAAAAAGCTGCCACCACCCCCTGACACGGTGGTGATGGACAACCCGTACCAGGGGGGGCCGTGATGGGCACTGGGCCCCCCCGCTGCCCCCCGGCCCTGAAAATGCCCCCATGTGCCCCCCGGTGCCCGGCGGGGGGGGAGGGCACCCCTTCCCTCGGCAGGAACCCCCCCAAAAATCGTGTTTTGCAGCATCTCGGACCCCTCTCCGTGTCCTCTGTGCCCCCCCCCCCCGTGCCAACCTGTGCCACCCCAGTGTCCCCGGGTGCCCAGGGTGGGTCACTGATGGCAATGCTGAGATCACAACCCCACACACCGTGCCCAGGGTGGGACACCGCTGGCAGTGCCACCCTCGGCAGTGCCACCCCCTCGCCCTCCCTGCCCCGAGAGCGAGCAGAGCGTGCCCGTCCCTGCGCCACACACACGGGGCTTTCCTGGGGTCCCGGGGCTTTATTGGGGTCCCGGGGCTGTACCGGGGGGGTCACGGGGGCTGCACGGCCACAGGGTAGAGCAGGGCCATGTGCCGTGCCCCCCGCACGGGCAGTGCCCGGGCCGTGTAGTGCCGCACGGCCGCGGGCACCGACGGGAAGGCGGCGCCGGCGCGGCCCAGGGTGAAGTGCTGCTCCCGTGTCCTCGTGAGCTTCACGTGCACGAAGCCCTGGCTGCTCCTGGGATACAGGGATACAGGGAATGAGGGCGGGATCAGGGGATACAGGGGATGAGGGCGGGATCAGGGGATACAGGGAATGAGGGCGGGATCAGGGGATACAGGGAATGAGGGTGGGATCAGGGGATACAGGGAGTGAGGGTGGGATCAGGGGATACAGGGAGTGAGGGCAGGGCAGGAATGGGGACGGGGATAAAGGTGGGGATAGGGGGACACCAGGCAGGGCAAGGGATGGGAGTGGGGATGGGGATGGGGACTGGGATTGAGGCAGGGATAGGGATGGGGATGGAGACAGGGATAAGGATGGGGATTGAGACATGGATGGAGATGGGGATGGGGACAGGGACAAAGGTGGGGATTGGAACAGGGATAGGGACAAAGAAGGGGATGGGGACAGGGATGGGGATTGAGACAGGGATGGGGATGGGGATTGAGAGAGGAATGGAGACTGCGACAGGAACGGGGATTGGGACAGGGACTGGGACAAAGATGGGGACAGGGATAGGGGTGGGGATTGGGGGACACCATCCAGAGCAAGGGATGGGAATGGGGATCGGGACAAGGATGGGGATGTGGACAGGGTGAGGATGGGGACAGGGGTGGGGATGGGGGCAGAGATGGGGACACCACCCAGAGCAGGGGCAGGGGGTGGCACCTCCGTGGGCCCTCACCCCAGGCGAGGGGTCCTGTGCCCATCCCGCCTGGCCCCACGTGTGGACACGGTGAGGGACATGGGAGGGATCACCCTGCTCCCGGCCCTGCCCCCTGCCCTGGCACCCCCTGGGGCTGTCCCCGTGCCCCCCCAGCCCCAGGCTCACCGCAGGGACAGCGAGTAGTCGTCGGGGCTGGTCTCGCAGTCCCGCACCAGGAAGCTGCCCTCGCGGCACAGCGCCAGCAGCGTCTCGGCGCCCGCCCGCCCGATGGGGCCGTGGTACCACCTGCGCAGGGGTGGGCGTCATCACGGGGCACCAGGGGTCACCACGGGGCACCACGGGGCACCAGGGGTCACCATGGGGCACCACAGGGCAGCAGGGGTACCCTCTGTGCCATGGGGGACGCTCCCCACTGCTTGGATCTGTCACTAGCAGAGGGCAACCCCCCGGGGACCTGTCTGTGCCATGGGGCACCTCCCATGGCATGGGGCCAGCCATGGCATGGGCCACTCAGACATGGCATGGGCCACCCAGCCATTGTGTGGGCACCCAATTGTGGCATTGGCCACCCAACCATGGCATGGGCACCCAGCCATGGCATGGACCACCCAGCCATCGTGTGGGCCACCCAGCCATGGCATGGACACCCAGTGAGGGCATGGACCACCCAACCATGTCATGGGCCACCCAGGCATGGCATTAGCTGCCCAACCATGGCGTTTGCCACCCAGCCATGCCATTGGCCACCCAGCCATGGCATGGGCACCCAAACGTGGGATGGGCCACCCAGGCATGGCATTTGCCACCCAACCATGCCATTGGACACCCAACCATGGCATGGGCACCCAACCACGCCATGGGGCACCCAACCCCATCAAAGGGACCCCTCATGCCATGAGGACCCATTCCTGTCACAGGACACCCTCCATCCCATGGGGACCCATCCACACCGTGGGGGCCCAACCACACCACGGGACACCCTCCACCCCATAACCACCCACCCGTGGGGTCCCTCTGCCCCCCAGGGCCACCTGCACCCCGTGCAGTGTCACCAGGGCTCCGATGCCACCCCCCTGGGCAGGGCCCCCCCCAGGACTCACGCCTGCTTCTCCAGGGGCACCGAGGTGTCCACGTGCCGGGGGCTGGGGGGGCAGCCCGGCCTGGTGCCCGGGGGGGCCCGGGGGGGTCGTGGCAGCTGCCGGGACAGGCTGGGCGAGCGCTCGGGGCTCTCAAACTGCACTGCAGGGCAAAGGGGGGGTCACCCCACCCCTGCCTGCTGCTTGAGGGGGGGCACCTCTCAGTGCCAGGCCACCGAGGGACGGCCCAGGGGTGTCCCCACCGGGGCTCTGTCCCGTCCTGGGGTCCCGTTGCCACCCGTGGGCACCGGGGCCGGGAGCGGTCTGGGGGTCACGGGGTGTTGGTGATACCCCTGGGCACTGGGGGACGTGGGGCTGGGGGACCATGGGGTGCTGCTGGAGGATGTGGGGGGGCAGGAGAGGCACCCATGGGAGTGGGGGGATGCTGGGGTGGTCCCCGTGGGCACTGGAGGATGCTGGGGGGCAGGAGTGGCACCGATGGGAGTGGGGGGACCCCTAGAGTGGCACCCATGGCACCTCTGGGATGAAGGGTTGGGGGATCCCGAGGTGGTCCCCGTGGGCACCGGAGGATGCTGGAGGACAGGGATGATTCCCACGGGAGCTGGGGGGATACTGAGAGCTAGGAGTGGTACCCACGGGAGATGTAGGACCCCAGGAGTGGTACCCAGGGGGGCTGTGGGACCCCAGGGTGGTACCCATGGGGACCCCGGGGTGTCACCCAGCCCCCCAAGGTGTCACCCAGCCCCCCCGGGCCGCCGTCACCTGCGAACGCCCGGGAGATGTGATCCTTCTTCCACTCCCAGGGCTGGTCGTACTCGTCCGCCGGGCGCTCGTCGTCGCGGGGCAGGCGGCTCTCCCGGGCCGGGGGCCCCCCCGGGCCCTCCCCGGCCGCCTCCCACTCCTCGGAGGGGGTGTCGTAGAGTTGCGGTCCCCGCCGGGGCCTCCCCCGCCGACCCTCGCCCTGCCCGGGGCACCCTGGGGACGGCGGGACGGGGCGGTGGGAGGCACCCCGGGACCCCCCCCGAAGGGGTGCTGGGGGTGCCCGGGGTGTCACCCACCTGCGGGCTCGTCCTCGCAGTCGGGCGCGGGGTCCTGCTCCCCCTCGAAGGGCTCCGAGTACTCGCTCTCGCCAGGGCCCTGGGGGAGGTGTCCCGGTGGGTGCCCCGGTGGGTGCCCCGGGTGGGATGGGACCCCCCCGGACCCCCCAGCAGGTGCCCGTGCCCCGGGTGCCCTGCCGGGACCCCGCGGGCCCCCCCGAGCCCCGCGCTGGGTGCCCGCAGCCCCTTCCCCGCTCCCTCCCACCTGCTCCCTTTGTCCCCCGACCCCTCTCCCCTTCCCCCTCTCCCGGGAACTCCGCCAGCCCCCCCCC